TCTGAACGAGGGGAAACCTGCGCTGATTCAGTGGAGTCAGTTTTAATGTTGAGCTGGTTTCACTTCCTGATCCAGTGCATGTTGTGTCGTTGGGTTGGTGTTAAATGTGCGATAATAATTAAAGCTGCACACTGAGTAAACCTCTAAATGAATAGCAAATGTGAGTATTATGGTGTGTGTGTGTGTGGGGGGGGGGGGGGGGGGCATTTAATTAGCTTAATGGATGAAAAATGACAGAAAAGACAACAAACAATCCTATTTGGACATGTTGAGACAGTAACTGCTGATCAGAAACAGAAATGAGATGGAAAAAAAAAAACTCAACCATGTAGGATGTCTGTGTGGCCTGAGCTGTTTAACTAACTGAACATTTTATTAAGTGAAGCTTTTAGCCTCAAGGTCTCAACTCCTTTGTGTTTGTGTGTGGAAGTTGTTGGGAGGCTTGTTTCAATTCTGGGTCAAACTCACTGAAGCGATCAGCTCAGGTCTGCTGTTTACCCTCCAGCCTGTTAGGGGGCGATAATGTCCTGATCTGTCAGCTGTCTGTTTTAAAAGAAAGGAAGAAAAAAAATGTTTTGAATGATTTCTCACCTGGAATTTACCTCAGTGTTTGTATCATTGTGGTCCACTTAGGCCTGTCGCGATAGTCAATAAATCAATTAATTGCACGATAACTTTTTTTGAGGTCGGTAAAAAAAAGACGGCGATAAGTTTCATTTTCCTACTTGTTTGTTTACTTCGTCTCTCTCCCTCTCTGTGCTCCGCTACACAGGAGCTCAACTGACCCCTCCCCTCCTGTTTTCTTAGTGTGGGAGGAGTCAACTCTCGCTTTAGCGTGATAGCTCGTTGCTAAATAAACGCTTCAAAGCAGAACGCGGCTGCTGAAGTGTCAGAGAACTAGAGCCTGGATTTCGCTGCGGAGGGAGGGAGGGAGAGAGAGACGGAGTGAGACAGAGAGACAGAGAGACAGAGAGAGAGAGAGAGAAAGAGACAGAGACAGAGAGAGAGACGGAGTGAGACAGAGAGAGAGAGAGAGAGAGAGAAAGAGACAGAGACAGAGAGAGAGAGAGACAGAGAGAGAGAGAGAGAGAAAGAGACAGAGAGAGAGAGAGAGAGAAAGAGACAGAGAGAGGGAGAGAGAGAGAGAGACAGAAGGAGGAGGAGAAGGGGTGGGGGGGCTGAAACTCCCCCAGACCCGCGACAAACTCGTCAAGACTTTACCTGTAGTTCCCAAAAATAACATGAAACTTAAACACACCATTTGTGTTTTAACAAAACACCCAAAAAGCCTGTAGCTGTCCCAGAAACTCATGAGGAAAACTCTGAACTGTCTGATTTCCTCCCCGCAGCGCTCTGACTGTCCCCTCCTCACACACACACACAGACACGTTTGTTCTTCTATCCTCATGGGGACTTTGCATTGACTTTCATTCATTTACCAGTATTTTCTATTACCATTTGACCCTAAACCTAGCCTACACTTTACATGGGATGTGAACTGGGCTTATGTCCCCATAAGAAACAGTGGGTCCTCACCAGGCTGTGTAGTTTGCTTATTGTTTATTTACTGTCTTAGTAGTGTGTGGTGTTTAATTTACATTTTGTTGTTCTTTGTTTTATTTTTTTTATTCAAGTGCATTTTTTGTTAGAGACTGAGAGTCCACTTTGTTAAACATTCTTTTAAAAATGAAAGTTTATTGATTTATTACACTTACACATTACGCTTTTATAATTATTAGTTGTAAAACGGTCACCAGGCAATATTATCGTTTATCGCAATAAATTTTGAGACAATTAATCGCCCAGCAAAATTTGTTATCGTGACAGGCCTAGGTCCACTGTATCAATTAGGATAATGGCAAATCTCCTCCAAAACAAGCACACTTGTTTATTTTGCGATTTGACTTGCAAAATCTTGTGGTTTTTTTACTACCACCTTTTCGGTCAGAGCTCATTGTTCCACATGACTCGGTGGACCTTTTGAAATACTGACACAGACGAACAAATTTACTTAACACAAACCTCAGCGTTCAGTAGACAATCGAGCAAATAGACGCGTGGCACCTAAAGTTTAAAGTAGAATCTGTGCTTCTTAAACTCAAACTCGTAGTCTTCTTAAATTGTTACTATTTCTTCTATTAATTTACAACAAATATTTTACGTAGTCGATGCTTGGTATTGTGAAACAATCAAAATGAGGTGCAGAAAAAAAAACCTAGAGTCTTTGAAAATGTAATGTTCAGGAGTCAAATCAATAAGTTGATTTGTTGTTTGGTGTAAGTTTGATCGCAATAGTTTTTTTTTTTTCATACAACGTTGGCTGTATCAAAAAAAAAAAAAAAGAAAAAAACAATCATCATAGTAAAACTATTTTCTCTAATGAGCTTCCCTAATTTAAATTGTTTGCAGTATCCCACTGATCCCTACCGTTCTCCTGTTGCTGGATCTTTTCGCAGCTGTCCTGAGACGATTATCGGCAATTTCAGATAAAAGCCTCTCCAAGTGTTGGATCTAATTGCCGCTGATGGAAATGATTAACTGTCACATTTGTCTTCAGTGCGGTACTGAGGCTATTGTGGTGTAAAGGGTCTAATTGTAGCTAGTAGCAGAAGTTGTTATGCTGCATTTTGTCGTGGGTTCCACCTAATTGTAGTTGATAGTAATGGTTCCAGCCTGTGTACACAGCCTAGAGCGGAGAGAAGCTGGACTTTGACATTGAGGAGCACCGATGCTCGCACCCCAAGACGACCAGTGCCGCTTTTTTAACACTTTTACCTCTTGCTCCTTTGCAGCCTAAGATTTAAAAAAAAAAAAAGTGAAGCCGATGTAAATAAATATTGTGTAACACTAATATTATTAGCCGTTTCCTGTTGTATTGATTTCACACTCCACTGAATTCATTCATAAATGTAATTATTGCCGTCGTTATTGCTTTTATGGACTTTCTGAGACGTGGCTGCAGTGGCGCACGAGGCAGATGGAAGTGCAGCTCGGCCGGTCGGAGCCTCCAAGGTCGGGATTTTAGCCTCGCTGCTCCACCACAGCGATCTGTAGTTTTCCACTGTGTGTGTGTGTGTGTGTGTGTGTGTGTGTGTGTGTGTGTGTGTGTGTGTGTGTGTGTGTATAAATGAATGATGATTTCTTACTGGGTGTGGTGAACATCAGATGAAATTTTCCTCTGCTGCTTGCACTCACTCCCTGTGTCATACACACACACACACACACCCAAAGCTAGTGTCAGGGCTAGCCTAGGCGTGGGCCCTTTCAGACATAAATTGCTTTATTTTAATAGTTGTGTGGAAGGGTAGAAAGGAGGAGAGAAAATTGTAAAATACTACAAAGGCACTTTTTTTTAAAATCTGAAAACTTCGTTCTTTAAGCTTCTTTTTGGAAGACGTCTGATTGGTTCTTGGTTAAAACGTTTTCAGGTGACTATCAGTGAATAACAGCACGCATTTGTCTCTCGTATCATTGCACACACGCCATCTCCTCCAGATGGATCATCAAATATGCATTACTCACTCAAAGACGCACACGTGCCCCCAACAAGACTCACACTGCATTGATCTAGAAGTGATCGGTTTTGACATCTATCGGGCGTCTGTTGGAGCGTGTTTACGACCGAGCACACAGACACAAACGCAGCCCCGGGGTCGACGAGTTTCAACTGTGTTTCGCAGGCGACGCGAACGACCACAAATAAACACGCGCGCGAGAAAAATAAAACGCAGGATCTCTGTCACGACTGTTGTGAGCAGCGCGACCACAATTGTTCTCCTCTTGAACAAAAGGAAGATTATGTTTTAACATAAAACATATGGGAGGTTGTTTGATGGCTTTTTAAAGTGATTATGAGGAAAAAGGGAGGAGTTTGTATATATGTGTGTGGGGGGGGGGGGGGAATCAAAGCCTCATTGATGAAATTGCTCAAACTATTGTAGCAATTAATCTTGCATGTGAAAAGGAGGAATTAAGAATAAACGGGGTGAACCGCTTTGATATGTGCTTAAAGAAACATTTCACTCTTTCTAAACAAGAAAAAAAGAAAAGAAAAAGGTAAGGCGATAGGAAGAGAATGAGCACCTAATGAAAGTGAAATGGGGTATAAAATGAGAAAGAAAAGCAGACGAAATAAGAAAAAAACAAACAGCGGCAGCAAAACGACTTAAGGTGATGCGGGCAGAGTGAGAGAAAGATGAGAAAGGAAGAGTTTGCGAGCTCGAAAATGAACGGAAAGCTACCGGAAAGACATGCGGGGAAGAGAAATGTGGAGCGCTGAAGGGGATGAATTGCCGTCTACAGCCTCGCTCATCCATCTTTCTGATATGGGGTGTTTGGCTTGATGTGGTTGTGTGTTGGCCTCCCTGCTTCTGTCTCTCTCTCTCTCTCTCTCTCTCTGTCTCTCTCTCTCTCTCTCTCTCTCTCT